TTTTCTATGTTATTGTTTCATTTTAAATCGAATGGAGTTACCAGTTTTTTGATATTTTTTTTCGTTCTCAAGTTATGATCAAAAACAAAAGGTGTCCCATCATCAGTGAATATTTTTATTTTTAGGGCCTAATTTAAAATTCTGTTCATGCCGTTGATAAGATTTTGTCATTTTAATTATGTTTAAACAAAAGTCTGGCTATTTCCATCAAGATTAACCATAGATGTGCCCTGTCACATGTCACACTTCACCAAAAATAGGGGTCAGGCTCGGAAAATCGTAAATAATTTTTGATTCTAGGGCCTAAATCAAAATTTTGTTCAAGCTGTTGATAAGATTATGTTCTTCTGATTATGTTAAAAAATAAGTTTGGCAGTTTCTATCAAGTTTAACTATAGATGTGTCCTGTCACATGTCAAAATTTTGCTTTTTTCAAGATGATGATTTTGAGAATTGGTACGGCATTTGAAAAATTGACGTTGTATGTCGCAGGGGGAGTACGATGAATTCGAACTTTCTCGAAATCGAACTGTCCCGAAATCGAACTCGTCCGAATTAGAACTGTCCCTTTTTCGAACACGCCCAGAACAGAACAAGAACGGAATCGAACTGCTATAAATTCGAACTGTGCGGTGTCGAACTGTCCCGGATTGGAACTCTGTTAGCAACAGGGCGCGCTTGCTTTTTTAAAATTGTTTTTGTCCAGGGCTGTCCAAAACGGCGGCCGGGCCTCGGCCGGCCTCAAAAAAGCCTCGGCCGAAGAAAAAAGGCCTCGGCGCGCTCCATTGAGAAAAAGCCTCGCGAGGCCTCGGCCGGCCGAGGCCGGCCTCGCAAATGTGACTACGGTCAGCAAGTCGCATATTTTACGACAAGTTGCGTATTTTTTTTTTAATTTTTTGTTTTTTCTCGCTCTTTTTCGCAAATCACACATTTTTCGAGAGTTTTCTCGATTTTTCCATCGATCTGTGGCGACATGAACATTTCGAACGCCAGTGATGGTCGGTTTAAGCCGATTTATTCATTTGTTATAACCGTTATTCAATTTCAGACACAATTCAGATGCCTCAATGATTCATTGATCCGAACAAAACCGATTGTGAATTAGTGATAAAGAACAAAAGGGAAGGATTCGGCGGTTTTTATGCTAGTTGAAATTAGCTCCTATCCAATTTTGCACTAAATCGCCCGAAAAGTTCATGCGATTCAAGCTTCGGAAGCAGATGTAGAAAGATCTTTTTCAATCATAAAAAACTTGTACACACCAACTCGTCAGAGCCTGGACTTAAAAATGCTGGAAAAGTTGATGATTCTCAAAGAAAAAGATCGATTCGACACAGGCGAGACTTGAAGATTTTGATGCATGAACACAAGCTTTTTTTGTTAATTTTTTTGAATTTGTTGTCATTTTCTCTCCCCTGTTATCTCAGTGTTGAATTAAAGATTTCTTGACTTCCTCCTTTTTTTAAATGCTCTAAATATCGAAAAATCGAGAAAACTCTCAACAATGCGTGATTTGCTGAAAAAGAACGAGAAAAAACAAAAAATTTAAAAAAAAACGCAACTTGTCGTACAATATGCGACTTGTAGTCATATTTGCGAGGCCGGCCTCGGCCGGCCGAGGCCTCGCGAGGCTTTTTCTCAATGAAGCGAACTTGCGACGGCCTCGGCCGCACAAAATTTTGCAAGGCCTTCGGCCGGCCGAAGCCGGCCTTTTGGACAGCCCTGTTTTTGTCAACAAATTTTGCATGTTTTCTCCAGAAAATAACTTTTTTCACTTATTTTGGATATTTTGCGAATTTCTCTACCCGTTTCGAGAATATAAACTTTACAGAAAATGGCTGCTCGTAAAAACAAGCCGATCGTTAAAGTTCAAGGATATGCAATGCGTTTCAAAAAAATGAACAAAAATGGAACAGAGCTTTTTTACTGTGTCGAGCGGTAAAAAATTGCAGCATTACTATAAAACAATATTTTTTCCAGAGAAAGACGAGCTCGATGTGATGCATACAAAGATGGATTGGAATGAGTTGAAACTAAATCCGAATTTCCAGGTCTGTTTCTACTCTTGAACACCTAAATTGATTTTTTACTACATTCACGTGAATCGAAACAGAAAGCTCACCAACGCATTGAAGGACGGGAGACTCATCAAGACGCTAATAAATCAGCCAATCCCGCCAAATATGCCTTTGATTGGTCTCAATTTATTAGACGCCATCTCCGACGCCCATTCTGTTTAAAAGTCATGAATTCTTTCTTTTTTAACACATTTTCTATTTTCAAATTATTTTTTCCTCACTGTATTCAAATAAAAATGCTTTTTTTGTTGTAAAAATGATTTTTTCTGGAGAAAACTTGAAATTTTCAAAGGTAATGCAAGCGCGCTCTGTTGCTAACAGAGTTCCAATTCGGGACAGTTCGACACCGAATCAGTTCGAGTTGGAACAGTTCGATTCCGTTCTTGTTCTGTTCTGGGCGTGTTCGAAAAAGGGACAGTTCTAATTCGAACGAGTTCGATTTCGGGACAGTTCGATTTCGAGAAAGTTCGAATTCATCGTACTTCTATTTCAAATACTTTAGGCAAACCATACGCAAGTAAAAATCACATAAACAAGTATGCCCCTTACCATACCGGCCGCCGAGGACAACGAATTCAAAGAAGCCAAGTACCAAAAATCGATATTTTTTGGCATAAATTGTGTGAGCATGATTTCCCCCGGGGTATTGATATGTTACTATATTAAATCAAATGTGCTGAATTCAATGGTCATAATGAAAAAAAAAGTTAACCTAGGATTTTTGAGATATTGAAAATTTTTTTGATTTTTTCAAAAAATCAATAAACCAATCAATAGGAAAAAAATTTAAAAAATTTATTCTCAAATATTCAATCAATTGTCTATCTACTGTTTTTCAAATTTCAACAAACGGACATAAACTGACAAAGTTATGATTTTTTGAAAATTTAGGCATTTTTTGGTACTTTTTGGTCCATAACTCCCAAAATAAATTTTTTACCAACTATTCCGTTTGGAATCTAAAATAACTTTTTACGCTCTATCCAACCATTCAGGTCTCGATTTTTTCGAGGGTAACACTTGGGAGTCATTCCATGTTAGATGATTGGAACAAAATGGGGTTATTCAGGGAGTCGGCAAAAAGGGAAAAAAAAACTCCGCGAAAACTCGGAGAGTGTTCCAATCTGGCTGAAACTTCGGGGAAAACTGGAGAAAACTATAGGAAACATTTTGCCAAAGTTTGGGGTCGAAATATCGACTTTGAAAATTTGGCTGGAATTTCAGTCCCTTATCTTCTTTTCTTCTTTGTATGTCATTCCGTTTTATCCCAGAAGGAAAGTTTCCCAAAGGAAAAAACCGCCAGACCAAATTTGATCTATCGTAAAAATTTGTAAGTTGTCAGGTCTAAAAAACTGAAGGAAAATAAGAATCTTTAATTAGTTTTTTTAAAAGTGAGGTGCGAAGAAGCGACGAACACGCGCCGTAGGCCCGCCAGCCAGCTGTTTGAAGCGCCAGAGGGGCGGCAAACAGGCTGGTAATAAATAAATGGAGAAAAAAAAATAAAAATAAAATGTGTTGTCTGTCCTGTTCTTTTCCTCTTTGCTTCTTTGTGTGTTATTCCGTTTCTTCCCAGAAGGCAATTTTCATAAAGGAAAAATCCGCCAGACAAATTTGAATTACCATAAAAGTGTTAGGGTTGTCAGGTCTGAAGAAAAATGAGAAAAGAAGCCTGAGGAGCGAAGCGAAGATCTCGAGCCGTGGGCGCCCCAGCCAGCCAGATGTTTGAAACGCCGGAGGCGCGGCAAACAGGCTGGTAACAAATCTAACTCTAGCAACATAAGGCGAGCATAACACATTTTCAGAAATATTTTTATAGGGATTGTGTCGTGGTGTTCGTCGAAAATTGAACTAATCATAAATTTACAGCGTAATCTACGAAGAATTCAAAGACTCGATAATTGGCCACAGATCTTATCGACGTAGGGCAGGTTTTCGAAAAACAGTTGGAAGAGGATCCACATATCGTTGTTCTTGCCACAGTTATTCGTAATCATCACGGACTGCTGTGCGTTCAGTTTGGAGAAAAGGTTAGTTTTGGAGAATGAACATTGGAGGAAAATATTATTCTCGTTTCAGTATACTGGAATGATTCATATGCTCAACACTTTCTGCCGTCACATAGGATGGACTGATAAACAAAAAGACGAGAAATTATTGAGGCCAAGCGTTGACTTTTTTCTGGGACTGGAAGAAGACATTTGTAGTATGTTGGAACCTGTGACTCATCTGGTTTTATTGAATAATGATGTGATGAAACATCGGCTCCAGATAATTTTGATGATATATCATATTTCCATATTTTTCACAGAAAACCATTACATCGTGGCGCTGTGTTAGTCTATCTCAACCATGACAGAAATCGTTTTTACTTTGCTCATATGGTTCCTACCGAAGACAAATGCCCTTTTTATTTTCATCTTTACATTGGCGAAGAGTTTGTTTTGCATCCAAACACAAACGTGAGTTTTGATGAACTTCACAATGGGAAGCAGCACAATGTTTCAGAAGCCAGCTTTCTTTCACATTTACCATGAACATCTTTTTGCGTGGAGTCTTATACGAAAGGAACCTGTCAGATTTTATTTTCCAGATGAGTTTAAATTTCTTCCAAATAATATGATCGAGTACGAAGAAGAAATTGATATTTATATAAACTACTTCACACGATATTCAAAAGTGTGTTCTAATTGAGATTCACATATAATAATTGTGAGATAAGTCTATCTCAAACAGTACCGCTCCTGAGGTTACATATACTATTGTAGTTCGCAATAGACAATTTCGGGTTTGAAAACTTTCAGTTCTACCAAACAACGCTGATTTACTTTAATTCGGCATTTGAAATTTTTTAGATTTTAGAATATTAATTATTTCAAACTCTTGTCGATGAGGGGGTCGGACCACAAGACGAGTACCGTCAACACATTGGTAGTTTGGATGGGAGAAGGATAAAAGCCATTAAAAAAGGAATGAAAACGTTTAAATATGTAGAAGTAAGGGTTTCCTTATAAATGCTTTCTGACAACCTTCTATAACAGATTCTTCTTCCTACGTCGGATGGATATAACCAGTTGCATGAAGCCGAAGTTGTCAAAGTTTCAATGAATTTGCTGACACTCAAAGTCCCTGGAAAAAAAAGAGATTATTTACGCTCATCCATTGTGAGTTTTGTATCGCAAGTAATTTCTAACTTATATTATTTATATTACAGCGATGGTAACGTTTATCATTTCGGGGCTTGTGTTGATGTATCAAAAAACAGATCGGACTTCGATTACAACGTATCATATTGACCCGGACTATCTGCCATTCTGAAATGTTCTTCACATTTTCTGACTTAATGTATTGCGAGTAACTGTTCATATGTTTCTTATTGTGATTCTTTCTATTCATCGGGTTGTACTCTCAGTAATTGTCCACGGACTCACTCCTAACTTGTAAGTATAGACTTTTTTTGAGTTTTCTCAAAGTACTTCGAATCTCATCTACAAATGGGAAATAGTTCGGAGGGTACAAAAATTTTGGGGTCAATGGGGTGCAAAGCAATTTAGGGGCAAATACTCACTTGCTATGTATAAGATCATTTGCTATTTTCCCATTTAATTTGAAAGATCATTTGCTATATTCTCCCTTGCTATAGCTCATTTGCTATGTTTGTTGAAAATTACAGGCTTAGGCAAAAGTTTCGGAAAAGAAAACAAAGTTTAAGCCTAAGCCTTTAGTACAAAACAAACATCATGACCCCATTTATAAAACATTTCTGAAACCCCATAGCAGATGATCTATAGCAAATGAGCTATAGCAAGTGAAAGTATAGCAAATGAGCTTTCACAGAAAGTGGGAAAATAGCATATGATCCTATAGCAAGTGAGTATTTGACCAATTTAGGGGTACAAAGTCCTCAGTTCGGGGGCACTAAAAACCTGAAAAATTTTAGTTTTGTACCCAGGAATTGTGAATGTACCCCAAAATTATTTTGTACGCTCTTGTACCCCCAAATTGTCATACCCTTCAAAATATGTGCCCCTTATGTGCCTCATGTCTTTCATATTCCTCGCTACTCATACTTCATTTTGTATTTTCATATTTCTCTATTCGTAGACAGAACTCCTCTTGAATGTTTTTGATGCGTCCTTATATTTTTTGGTGATATCTATATCCATTTTATACCTTCATTCTAATTTGAATATCAATTAGCATTGTGTTTTCAGTATACATTTCAGGTATACTATGAATTCCGGACTTGAGCCTTACTGTACAACGATTCCCGAATTCATCGAGGTTTTGGACAACTTCGGGACGGCCAACATGACGTTGTATAATTTGATCAAAGAAACTGAGGTGTTCATAAACTGCTCCGTGAGTTTAAATATCAAAAAATAGATAATCAACGATGAAGGTTTTCAGCCTCCTAAAAAGAAAAGTATGGTTGAAAAATACCGTCGTTTTCATATCTGGGTCGAAGAAGAAATCGATATATTACATGAAAATCTTGATATCGCAACGAAAAATGGCAAGGACGAAGTGATCGAATTCAATGTTACTATATTCGATATTTGGAACCGCGTTCTTCAGCGGCTTTCCAAGAAATTTGAGACAGATCAGGTGAGGACAGGTACCAATTTTTCTCTGTGCCACACAAAGAGAGTGAGAGGGATTTCTCACATCTTTATCTTTTTCAGCGATTCGTAGCTCACTCCGAAGCAATGAAGGTGGCGCTTCCATTGATCTCCAACGCTATCTTTATAATGATGCATGGAGTATATGGAACGGTAAGTTTAGATGTTATTTTTAGCCCAAACTTGGATTTTTGGTGACTATTCAAATACTGACAAAATTCTTTGACTATTTTCTTTCTTGTAAAAAATAATTCACAAAGAAAGTTCTTTGACGCTAAATGAAGCTGTTATCACAATGCTGAATTCTTCAAACTTATATTTCGTACATTTCCAGCAATTCATTGTTTACCCTGACGTCGATGAAATGGACATAAAAGCGAACAAATTTTATGAGGAAACTGGAAAACGCTTTCATGAAAAAAAAATGTTGCAAGTAGACAGAGGAACGGAAGAAGTAATGAAATACATCACCGATCCAGAGAAGAAGAAAATTATAGAAACGAAATACCAGGCTTCCAAGCAAAAGTATGAAGACAAAGTCAGTTTAAAACTTCGCTTCATTGCTTCAAAACTTTATTTTTTCAGATGTACTACTTCTTGCTCTGTAGACAGTGGCCCAGATACGTGTTAAAAGTCGAAACTTTTCATCGGGTGAGGGTTTTGACTAGCATATCCGTTTTCCGCTATTACTGAAACTTGAAAAATCAGTTATCTTTTCCAATGAAGCACTCCAATTTTTCAGAGGGAGCTTCTAATGCCAAAACAATTGGTCCTGCACGTAGCGGATGACTCTGATGCTGAAATTGATGTTGTCAATGTTGACGAAGATGATGAGAGACTTCCCATTCATATTCGAATGAATCCACTTGGATACAATCACGACGAAAGTGATTCTGATCAATCTGGATATTACGACGACTATGAGGAACCCGATAATGTTGAATCCAATGGAGATGTGAAGCAGTTGGAGACAGATGTTAATCAAGACCGACAAGAGGCATCAGCACAGAAAGAAAACGAAGATTGCATTCCCAGACCAACGCACGACGAATTCTTATCATCTTCGCAATCATCAGCAAATCGAATTCCAGAACCGAGAAAGAATAATTCAACAAAGATGATTCCATCCCTTCAAAATCCAGTTCCTCGACAGTTGTTGTATGTTCATGGCCCGATATCTCAAGAAGAGCCGGGTAGTGAACAATCTCAATCAAAATACTTGGAAAAAAAATGTAAAGCGGAGAAAGATGAACAAAAACAAGACATGATCTGTCATGAGAAGCTTGCTCAGAGAACTCTTAACGAAGAATCGTTAGAAGCTCTAGAAAATCCTGGAAGACTCAAGAAAGCACCGGGAAGTCCAAAAGAAAATTCTACTTTATATGGCAAGTTTGACTGCGAAAATAACCAAAATATTTTTGGAACTTCAGAATCGGAAGGAGGAGAAAATGATCCGACAAAAAATAAATCAGCTGAATCTGTCGATGGAGGCTCTGAACAAACAAATGAGCCGGCAAATTCAAACTCAAAACGAGCTTATAAGGAGTCCGAATCATCCGAAAAATCGACTAATAAGACATCAAGCTCTTCCACAAAAGCAACTGGTGAGAATTAAAACCTTTTCAAAAGTTTCAAAGTTGTTTTCATAGAATTTTCAGAGGTATCAAATAACCAACAACAGTCGACACAATCATCTGGCTCTGGGATTCCGAATTCTGCACCAGGGCAAACACATGAAACTCCGAAGCCTCCAGAAAAAACTAGAAATAACGATTTCAAATCAATGAAAAATCCAAGCGTGAATCTGGTTCATAAGTCATCTTCGCTCCCGAATCTAACACCAAAAGATCAGACTGATTTGAAAAAAGGCGCATCCATTACAAAAAACTCTTCTTCATCCAACTCTCTGGAAAGTGATGTTAAGCAAAAAAGCATCAGTGGAACGCCTCCTCTCAACTACGACATTGGAACACCCCAGTCGTTCCATTCAACTTCGAGCATGGGAAGTAACCCAGCGTCACCGGAACATCTTGAAGCTCCACCATCTATTCAAACACTTCAAACTTCAGGGAGCAGGGACTCAGCACCATTAGATGAAACGAAGGAAAAGAAAAAATCTGTTGATTTGTCTTTAGAAAAAACTTATGAATTAGTCGATCAAGAAAAAATAACTCCAAGTCTCAAATTACAATCCAACAGAGAAGGTGAGCTTTTTATTATAACGAACAAGAAACGTTTGATGTCAAAAATGTTTTTCAACGTGTCATCATTTCGTCCTGTATAAAATTTTATTCCAGAGTCTTCCTCAAACCTTCCTTTCAATCTACGCAAACGTCCACACTCGCCAGAAAACGAAAGGGACATTCCTCCAAAGATATAAAACGATATAAACGATATAAACGGTAAACGTATTTTAATTTCTCCTGTTTGTTTTTAAACCTTTACCACTCGCCATGCCTACTACCCCTAATTTATGATACTCATTCAATTTCCATTTGATAATCTCCTATGTTTCAAAATCGTATTTTATGCTAAAGTAAGTTTAACGAAAACAAACGAAATTCTAGAAAAGTTTTAACTTCTAACTTGAATTAAAAGATCAAATTGGATTGGTGCTGTTTCAATGACGTAAAACAAAAATGCATTGGAGGAACAAGTATCATCGCCGAAATTATGAAAAAATGGTTTCTGAGACAAAATCTGTTCATCAAGGATTTTAGGAAGTTGCACAATTCACCAAAGTGTTGCATCATCACGTCAGAATGCATATTTTAACTCTAAAAAAACGACGGGCAATCTCCTGATCACCCCTCCTTTAAGTTAAAATATTATTTTCTCCTTTTTTTAGGTTCAGTTTTTTCTGTTGTTATTTGAATGAGAGCAGCGTTCAAATGACTAACAAATTGGAGCGACAAAGATATCAAAAAGGTTTAATGTGTTAAAAATCTCATCGTTCTCACAAAATGGCCTCATTAGTCGATGCCTGCAGTGGGTATGTTCTTGTTTTCACTTTCATTCGGCATTCTTTCTTGTGGCTCTTCATGACTTTGAATTCTATGCCGACCGCAGATTTTCACCATTTCCTTTTTTTTTGCAGAATGTTGCGTAAAAGTTCTTCGAATAGATCTATCAGGAGACAATCAAAATTGGAAGTTACTGTTCATCGTAGACTAGATGCTAGGAAAGTTGCAACAGCAGTTGAAAAGGTATTAGGTTGAGCGAAAAGTCTTTGTAATTTTTTGTGTTTTTTTCGAAACAAAATTTTCTTTAAAGAAAACGAAATTCAATGTGAGATATATTCACCAATAGTATTAATGACAAATTGCTAACGTGATGAAAATTGAGTGATTCCATTAGCGTAGAATTCGGGAGAATGGTAAGCGAAGACGTCGTCCAACCACTTTTCGCATTCTTTCCATCATTGAACTTTCGCCTACCACGGTGATTCTGCGGAGAACGGAATAGACGATATTTAGTTAGGGCAAGGTCTGCTGAATACGGTGAGTGACAGAAGACCTTGGCTCCGAGCATCTGGAGCTTCTGACGGGTCTTCAAAGTAGGTGCACTTGCGTTGTCATGAATCATAAAAAACTGGAATTTTTCGGGCAATTTAATCGATAGGCCCAGAACACTTTGTCCATTTGAGTGCAGTCGAGGTCCGCATTAATAGTGACGCCGTCTAGAAGAAGTCTTCTGAACATAACGTTTTTACTTTCTCACCAAATGGACAATATAACTTTTTCTCGTGAAGTTCTCCTTTGGTGTCCGTTTTGGCGGTTTCCTCGGCCGAGACCCATCGTTTTTTTCTACTCGTCACCAGTGATAATATTCTCAACCCAATTGGCGCTACGTTTCATAATTAGCCGAGAATGTGCCAAATCACAACGCAATGGTTTTTGCGAGTCCGTCAAAAGGTGAGGAATGAGTTGACCAAACTTTGGCTCCCTTCAAGACTCGTGAATGTAATCGATGATGGTCCTTTGAGGTCGGTTGAGACTCGCTGTAAGGTCGCATGACGTTACTCTTGGTTCTTCTTCCAGAGCTCTTGAGATATCCTCGTCGAGATCAAGTGGTCGACCGGATCTTCCAGATCGTAGTTCTCTTCGAAGAACCTTTTGGACCAAAACTTTATTGTAGTGTAGGACATAGAGTTCTCGTCTAACCCTGTACACAATTTACGACAAGCTACGCTGCATTTGTGACAATGGAGAAACTTGCACAAAAAAGCACCCCTGAGAGCATGGTGGTCTCTGAGCAAACTCTTGGTCATTATGAACCCCGTCGATAATTTTAACAAATCTTTTAAACATGCACAACTAGTACTACAATATAGAAAAAAAACAGAATGATAAGAAATTGAATCAACGCTGAGTATGACGGTCCAAAAAAATTACAAAGATTTTTCGCAAAACCTAATATGTTTCATTCTTGTTGTTTTTCATGTTTTTATGTTTTGGATTCTTTTCAGGTTTTTTTTTCAAAAGTTGCATTACAAAATTAATATGTTTCAGACAGACAACCGAAAAAAAACAGAAAACTGCTCAATATCGTCCTGCAACAAGCAACTGATGCGTACCGTTTAGCCTGTGAAACGTATTCTGAGGTTAGTGGATTGGCTCTTTTCTGTTTAAAAAATCTTTGAAATGATTTTTCTGTTTAGGAAGGTCGAGCACGTTTCGAGAAGCTAACTATCGTTCTCCATCACAATGAGAACGCTAACATCAACTTTGTGCCGTAATGCTGATTCACACTTTCATATTATGTAAAAATGGAGCTATTGATTTTGTTGTCTTCTAATGTTCAATTGACAGATCTACTGCCTTTATAAGCATGCAATTGTTGTGTAGGGCTTTGTTTACAACCTACGTTTATTGCTAATCGATGCTTTCTCAACATCGTAGTTTCAAATATTTAATTACCAGTCGAATTCCGCCGCCTGTCGGCGGCTACAATCGTGGACGGCGGAACCCGGGAAGTGTTGGCCGCTGCGAAGAATGACTACCCGGCGGCGCGTAGTTGAAAAATAAATCAAATTTCAAATTCCCGTCAGTTTCGTGTCGAGACCTGTCGGCGAAATTGCGTGCGCCTTTAATCTCGAATGGCACAACAAGCGCGGAAAATTTGCAAAACGTGAAGGTTTTTCTCCCGTCCTCGCCCACCCCTGAATCCGTGTCAAAGTTTGACAGGACTTTATCAAAGAGATTTGTGACAAAATTAAATTATATTGGTCGTTTCTGATAGATCTGTTTCTGATGGTGGAGTTCAATCTTGTCGGGTAGCGACTATGGTGGCACGGGGGTGGTCTGCCGGCGAATTGTCCCATTCAGCCCAAAAAATATTTTAGAGAGCACCCAAAATTCTGTGAAAACAAACATGAACATGTGCTTTAAAAGTTCTCGGCACGGGAATCCCCATTGGATTGTTATCTGACTAGAGACAAGCCATCCTTTTTAGAAGGTCAGGTTGGAACAAATGATTTTGGCACTTTCTGCTGGGCACGTTTTTCCGTGTGAGCAGGTTCTACATCTTTCTGGGCAGTCTAATTTGGCGAGCTTCATGGCACGATAATTTAGGCATCATAATTTTGACTAGAATTAGTATTCCTGGCCCACTTGCTTGCTCTCGTGAATCCGCTAAAAACAGTGAAAAAATCAAGTGAGGTGTACAGAAAGTAATGTCATCTTCGTAAAAATTGAGATATAAATATGAAACTTCACAAATCTATTAATGAAGAGATGGGGAAAAATTCGAGCACAATATCAACCCATGATAAATGCGCCTGCGCACGCCAGCTCAAGTCAAACTTTTGGTAACAGTACTTTTGCCGCACCCTTTATTGTTGATTTCTTTAGGCTAGGTGGTACGGGAACACACACACACACACACACACACACACACACTGATTGTTAATAGTGAAGATATGCAGCTCATATCAATGGATCAAACATATGTTTCATTTTATCGTACTTGCTTAATATTCTTATTTCGTTTCCAGGTGAAAAAAAATGCATTATTTATCTTTGGACGGATTGTTAACACTCAAAGAATCTGTTAAACTAGAATGCAAAAAGATGTAGATTGCATTAAAAACATTGGAAAGTCAAAAAGCTGGGTGCCGCTCTCGTTCGCCCATTTTTATTGTTTGCGGTCTTTTCGGAAAATAGCATAAAGTCGGGATTGTTCGAGGGGTTTTAAACCACTAGTTGGGTGATGATGACAGAAACATGAACCGATTGTCTTAGATGATTGGATGAAGCGTGAATCATATTCTAATTCCAACTGCTCTATGTTTTTCTTCTTTGTTTCAAACTCTTCACGTCTTTCCTGTGATTTATTAACTCGCTATTTACTACGTTCAGATCTGAGCTTACTTTTGTGAAAAACTGTTTGACAAGTTTGAATGCTTCTTGATAGCGCCGCAGCAGGACCATAGTGACAACTTCTCGACGTTGATTCGTTGGTGTGTTCTAAACGTCGGGTTTTTCGCTCTATTGTAAAACCGTTTTTACATACTAAACTTTGCTGGTGATTCTCTACGAATAACTTGTAAGTTCGCAGATTTTCCTCAAAAATATATTTTATTTTCTTTTTGATTTCTTTGTTTAAAATACTACCATACCTTTTCTTTATCTGTCGCAACACTACATAGCTGTTTGAAAGGTGCGGGGAAGGCGTTTGATTAAGTCTATCATACTCAGACGAGATTAAAAATCCTGCCGGCGAGGAATACCATTGTCGGCATGATAATTTCGCTTGCCGGCCAGAAATAGTCACGCCGGCTATATAGAGAGTCATGCCAGTATGGTAGGGAAAGAAAAATCATCTGCCGACGAGGAAACAAAGCTCCGAAATTCCGGAGTGTTTTTAATATTTTTAAATATATTTTTAAATTTTTCCTATTTTCAATCTTTTTTATTTTTGTTTCATCTCTCAAATATTTTCCAATTTTCAGAAAATATGGTTCTCTCAACTTCTCAACCAACTTGCGACAAGAAGATAATCGAGAAGGTTTGAAATTGCCAGGTTTTCTTAAAATCATCAGATTTTTCAGATACTCTTGATTGTCAACATAATATTTCCTTCTCATTTCGATCAAATGGATGCTGAACTGGTCGGATATAAATAGTCGTAACCCATTTTTCACAGATCTTGAAATCTGAAAAAAAAAACGACAATTTTGTGAGTATGACACTGTTGATATAATCAATTCAAAAATATATTCTCAGTCTTCGAATTTTGATCAAGAATCAAGAACTTCGATTCGAACAATTGATTACTCTGAAAACGGAACGAATTCAAACCAACCTCATTTGCTTCAATCAGACAAAATTGTGAAGAATTTGGCGACGAAATTACCTTTTGGGCCTTATCCACTTTTCTCAAATTGTAAACTTTAAACTTAATTCCCTACTTCTTATCGTTTTTTGGAAGATGTTATTCTTGAACCGTTTCTCATTGATAAGTGTTGTATTTTTTTTGGTTCATCAGCTGCGGAAAAAAACCCTGCTGACCTGAAAAAACCAATTCTCCCGCCGCGTGTACGCCGCAAGGAATATATTTTTTCTCGCCGGCAGGGTTTTCAATCTCCTCTGAGTAGCTAGAAAACCTATTATCGTTCGTAAAAAATTTCCCATTACTTTGTCTGTTTCTCGCCCCACATTGATTGCCTTTAAATCAAACAAGTATGCTTGCCAGACAACTGGAATGGATGAGAAAAACCTACTTAAACTGAAATAAGACAAGGAATTCTTCATCGAAATTATTGGACACAGAGCCCGCCTCTCACAACATCAACTTAAAAATCTGGGAGCTTTGAATAGAGTCTGTGCTTTTTGAAACCCTGGTCTTCAAAAAAAAACACACACTTTAGAATTCTCAATGAATTTTGTCATTAAAGTTATCATAAAATCAACAAGATAGACAAAAATTGGAAACGATTACAACAGAAATTTTGAAAAAAAGTTAGTCAGTGGATTCGGTAGGTGCTGGTGTAGCAGCTACGCTAGCTGGTTTCTCTTCGCGTTCCTCAACAGCAAAAATGGAATGCTTGGCCTTCACTCCAGAGCTGGTTTTCTTTTGACAGCTTTCGTGGTCTTCGTACCGAAGAACATCAAACAATGGGCGTTGGTGGATCATGGATGCATTGTTCAAGACGGTCTTGAGAACGTTGCTGCAACAAGTATCTTTGGTCTCGTACTATTAGTGACCATATCAACAGGTTTGGATTTATTTCAGATAATAGCAGATATTTAAAGCAGTGTCACATCACTTTTTGGTTTTTGCAGGAAAATGAAAATGAGGTAAGGTATTTTGTGGCTAGAAATTAGTTATAGTTGCGTCCTTTTCTATACAATACTTTCAGCTCAGTAATAAATCTTCGTTTTGTCCTATACTATCCAAACTGAGTTAACTTACCCAATACGGAGGTTTGCTTCGTCATCACTACTGTCGGTGGTCCATACCGATATTTTTGAGCCTTTTGTACGGACATTACAAACCATTCCACACACACTTTCAGAATCTTGTTTGAATTGCTCTCCAACCATAGCCATCAAAATCTCTGTCCAAATCAAGTCCATTATTTCCGATGTTCTTTTTTCAATTGTGATCAACCAGCGACCTCCATTTTTGTTTTCTTTCACCTGTAAACTCACTAATGTAATTTATTTTGATATAGCTGTTTTTGTACCTCCCACATTGGTGCAATTCCATCACGGAAAACATTGTAGTCAGATGACGGATTCAAACCACTTGGAGGCTTAATAGCATCGTGAAGAGCCCAAAACTCGCCAATCCCGGTAAAAGTGTGTACGTTTTTGAGTCTGTCCTCCCATGATTTGTTTCGATCATCCGACAGAAACCTAGAAAACGAACACTGATATTTTTTAGAAAAGTACGGTTTAAAAAAAAATTGAAAACGAACTTACCACCAAGACCAACTTCTTGCAAGTTTGTAAACTAGTGGTGATTTTTTCTGAGGTGTTTCAGCGATTTCTGCCATTTTTACCTAGGAAAAATTGTTGATTGCGATAAGAAAATAACAAAAAACGGAAAAACGAAAATTTGTCGCAAACATGTCGAAATCCTGCATACAAAAGATCAAAAACCGTACAGATTATCAGTTAAAAACAAGACGTGTCCTAAAATTCTGTGCAAACACCGTCACCCAAACCCACACACATTACACTGTCAAGATCGAATCACATCGGCCGTCTGACTTTTGTGTACGTCACTGTGTTTGCATTGCCGTGCAGCGGAACAGAGGCAAACGCGGGAGGTCAACGAGAGATACATTGACATAATGATGAGAGAGAGAGAGAGAGACGCACAAACTAGCAGAGATAGGTCTACAAGAAAAAACGATAAGATTGACCAGTAAATAAAGGTCAACGAGAACAATATGCCAGAATTGTAAAATATCGAGATGAACAGTTTGATGATTGATCCATAAAAACCGGACTCAAAATAGTTTTGTCGGTTTACGCCCCTTCGGGGCTAAACTTCCTGGCTCCCGCTATTCCCGTTATCATATAGAAAAGTTTATGTTTTTTTCATATAAGCTACGAAAATATAAAGAAGGAAGACACATTAAAAAAAACTCAAAGTAAGAACTTCTGGAATCCTGAAACTCTCAATTTCCAAAATCCAAAAACTCGGAAAATCGAAAAATCGGAACTGGAAACTTGGGAAGTTCGCACTTTTGGAAATTCACAAATTCAAAATTAAAAAATTAGAAAGCTTTGTAATATGGAAAACCTAAAATTCTGCAACTCGACGTTACGGAAATTTTAAATTTTAATAATTCGAAGGAAAAAGATTTCGAAAGAAAACTTTTAAAGTTGGAAACTCTCAAAGTTGCGCAAAACGTTGAATGCGTTTCCAATTCTAAATGAATAATCTCTCATTAGTCTGTTATACTATAGTTTTCGAGTTTTTTTGAATTTCATTAATTTTTAAATGGGAACATATCAACCGTAAGCTCTCAATATTCAGATCTGATAACTAGTTTCGAAAAACTTTCAAAAACTCACGATTTCTGTCGGCATCTTTCTCTGGCGTTAGCTTTTTCACGCGACATGTAAGCAACAATCGGGAAGTAGGTGTTCAATAAGGAATGAGCATGACCCTATTGTACGAGTTGGAACAGACTCATCCAAGTACACACATAATATCCTGAAGTGGGTAATAATGGAATGGTGTTGTCGTCGTCTGGTTGCAGCTGTCTTCGGATGAACGAAACAATAGACGTTATTATGAGTTTTTTAACGAGAAGTACTCCTTGAAGAGCTGAATATGTGAAAACAATAAGAGTCACAGTAAACGTTTTTACTTTTGTATAATTTCCAGAAAACATATACATTATTAACTTCAAATTGACCTCGAAATGTATACGAACATTCCCTCCCGCGTCTCTGTAGCGTGCGGTGACCCCTTCTATTCCTCTGATATCGATTTTTTTTTTTTTTTTTTTTGGGCCGCTATGGGTGAAACTATTATTAAACTTAAACCTCGAATAAGAGAAAAGCTCTCTCGGCCTTGAAAGATGAAAATGGCGGTAAGAAATCCAAATTGTCTGAATATTCCAGTAAGGAAGCTGTAAATGATATAATTGAATCTGTGGATGATATGTCTAACCCATTATATGATCTGCTGTCAAATGATTTCAAATCGAAAGAAGAATTCACTGTGAATGATATTGCAATGATGTTTAAGTCGCTGGCTGAAACGATTCTCAAGCTTCAATCTCAAAACACAATGTTGAAAAACCAAAACTGTATTCTAAATGCCAATTTGTCGAATCTTACGGAAAAAGTTGATGGCTTGGAGGAGAATCTCAAATTGTTATCATCTCAACCTAAAGAATCACCAAAACCTCCTACTACATTAATTAAAACTTTTGCTTCAGCTGTCGCCTCAACCATCTCTGCTCCAGAATCCCAAATCACTTTCATGCGAGCTGCCTCATTGGCTAACTCTGAAGATGCACGGAAATCGAATGTGATCATCAAAAATATCGACCTTTCGGAAGAAGCTATTGAGAAAGCTGAATTCGTTTCCAAAATTGCCAAGGACTGCGGTACTTCGACGCCATCGGTTTTTCGCATACCTCATCCGGCCAAAGGGCCGCCCATTGTGCGCCTGGCATTCAAGTCCAAGGAGGAAGCAAGAACTGTCCTCACCAAATTCAACTCAATCAAAGCTTCAATACAGGGGTGCTTGAATGCGTCTCCCCGCCCAGACCTTTCCAAACCAGAACTCGAGAAATATCGACAATCCTGGAAAACGGTGATCCAAAAGAACAACGAGGCAGGTCAAACCATTTATACGGTTCGCAATCTGGAAGTCGTCAAAGATGTCTACAGAGAAAATCATGAGCCGCGGCCATGGGCCAAAAAACACTCGATCCCAGAAAATTTCTAAAAATTGGTTACACCAATAGCTGCTCAATTAATAACAAAGTCCTCCAACTCGATCTATGGTCTTCTAATTCCAACATCGATATTCTCTGTTTAGTGGAAACTAAAATTGATTCAAACTATCCTGACTCCCTGCTATCTCTTGATGAAAAATATGCTGTAATCCGGAAAGATCGAAACAGACATGGCGGAGGTCTAGCCATACTAATCAAGAAGCCTATCAATTATACGGTAGTATCACTTCCGACACATCTTGAATCCGTTGAAATTCTATCTGTGGATATCAAAATACATGGCAAAACTACAAGATTAATTGTAAGCTACAATCCTAATCACAACCACTTTTTTAAGGACCTTCGAGAATCACTTAACATACAACTGAAAATCCATCTATTATCACTGGAGATTTCAATTGTGCCCATGTTGATTGGAATTCATATACAGCATCTGATTCTCAATGCCAGTCACTGTTGGACTTTTCGCTTTATAATGGCCTGACGCAATTTGTACAAAATCCAACAAGACTCGAACAACCAAATATATTGGATCTGGTGTTCACTAATTCCATGGACATTATTCGTGATGTCATTGTTGGTGAGAAATTCAGTGACCATTGCAGGATTGAGATTGATACCTTTATATTGCTTAATTCTATTTCACCCCTCAAATCAACGAAAAATTTCAAAAAAGGAGATTTTAGATCGATGAATTATATTCTATCAAATATCGACTGGGATTTACGATTTTCAACAATGTCAATTGATGAAATGTTTGATGATTTGAGAGGAATTATTCTGGAGCTTATTGAATCTTTTGTACCAACAGAAACTCATCGAATTCATAATATAATTTATTCCAAAGAAACCAAACAATTACTAAAGAAGAAATTATTGATTTGGAAGAAAGCAGGTAACTCGGACGAGTATAAACATGTTTCAGCACTATTCAAAAGGTCACTCGTAAAATCTGAAGAAGAAAGAATCTATAAACGTCTGAATTCTGGATCAAAAAATTTTTTCGGATTCATGAAATCGAAATTTAAAGGAAACAGTGATATACCGGCAATTCGATATAAATCTAATGAGAATATTATCATGAGTGATGAAGGAAAAGCCGAAATATTTGGAGATTGCTTCAGTGAATTTTTCAACATTGACAAAGATATCCTTCCTGCTACAGGGAATCTAATTTCTAAGTTCAGCTCAGATGTCATATTCACGCCGGAGAATATCGAGTTATTACTATATAAACTGAAAGGCCGAAATAATACTTCTCCGGATAGTATCCCGTCAATATTTTTGAAAAGAGCGTGTACTCCTCTTGCGATTCCACTATGCATTATATTCACAGAAAGTTATCGAGTTGGAAGAATACCAAAATCTTGGAAGGAGGCGATTGTTATGCCGCTCCATAAGAAAGGCTCCCGCTCCGATCCTTTAAATTATAGACCAATCTCTTTAACATCCAATATATGCAAGATTATGGAGAAGTTGATACGAAAACATCTAGTCCAATACTTATCCGAAAATAATCTGTTATCAGAAAAACAATTCGGGTTCCTTAATCAGAGAAGTACAATTTCCCAACTGATCGCCTACCAGAACAAGCTTGTTTTCAATTCTTTAAATGGGTTAGATACCCATAGCGTCTATATTGATTTCCAGAGGGCCTTCGATACAGTGCCGCTAAACAAATTGATTCATAAGTTGGAAACCTTTGGGATATCTCCCAAACTAAGAAATTGGCTCCATTCATTTGTCACGGACAGGAAATTTTAAGTCAAAATCAATGATATACTATCGAAGGAGAGGCGCGTATTGTCCGGAGTCCCGCAGGGATCTGTTCTTGGGCCTACCCTCTTCTTGTTATATATTAATTGTATTGGGGACAAATTTCAAAGTGACTATCTACTGTTTGCAGATGACTTGAAAATTTATGATACGAATGATAGATTGATTGATGCAGATTTAATTGAATTGGAGAATTGGTGCTCGAAGTGGAAAATGAAAGCGGCTCCTAAAAAGTGCGAATACATCAAATTCAATGCAACAAGAAAATATGCCAACTCCAATGTTATGAATCCCAAATTAAATCAAGCTTTGATTCCCCCTGTGGAAAATGTCCGTGATCTTGGGATCTACTTTTCCAGTAACCTGAGTTTCCATTATCATTATTCGTTGATTATTCGGAAATCACATCAGAGGATCAACATGTTCTTTTCCATTCTAAAAAACGCATCGTGGAGTGTTTTTATAAAATGCTATACAATTTACACACGCCC